GCCAAGGAAGCTTTAGAACTAATCCTTCGCTCATTACCCGAAGATTGTATATTTAATTTAGTATCATTTGGTTCAAAATTTACATCTTTATTTCCAGAAAGCAAACCTTACACAGAAGAAACTTTTAAAAAGGCATTGGATCATACAAAATCCATGGATGCAAGTTATGGCGGAACTGAAATTTATAGTGTATTGCAATGGGTGTTACAGACTTCGCAAGATAAAAGAAAGGAATATATTGATTTTCCCACTGCAATATTTGTACTAACAGATGGACAAGTATATAATGTCGATCAAATTGTTAATTTAATCTCTGATTCCTTATCCAAAAGAAATGATCTATTACGATTGTTTTCATTGGGAATTGGTAATTCAGTTTCACATAATCTACTGGAATCTATTTCGCGAGCAGGTAAAGGATACGCCCAATTTGTGACTACCCAAGAAAGAATGGATAAAAAGATTATTGGAATGTTGAAGAATGCTGTAAAACCACCTATTAAAGATTATAAGATTACATGGATAGATGAGAAAAGTAGTACAGATAATGACGACAAACCATCAGCTTCTTCTTTCATCAACTTTTTCAAGAAATTATCCAGTGACGCTACCATTACATCAACATTGAAATATTGTTCTACCCCATACAAAATACCCATACTTTACTCGGGTGTTAGATTTATAATTTATTGTTTTCTATCCAAAGAGGTTTCTCCACCTAAACATATAATTCTTGAGGCCGCATGTGAAGATGGACCAATTCATTTAGAGATACCAATTGATCCAGTAACTTTGCAAGGATCAAAGATACACACATTAGGTGCAAGAAAAATGATACAAGATTTTGAAGAGGGAAGTTCTTATTTACATCATATTATGAAAAACAAAGAGGATAACAATTTGGATCAAGGAATTGTTCGGGAACAGATTGTAGACTTGGGCAAGAGATTCAGTTTGGCATCAAGATATACTAGGTAAGTAAAATATTTGTACATTATCGGGAAAATTTATAAACCGTAATATTACGGAATCTACGTAGATTTACGTCTAAAAAAGTTCTAGATGATAGTTTTATGGTATAGTTTTTAATTGGATAAACAATTATTTATTTCTTTGTTTTAGTTTTTTAGCAATTGACGAACGCGAGAATTCACAATTATCCGTGACTAAAATTTCACAAAAATCAGAAATTCAGCTTCAGTCTATACAACGTAAATCCTTATCTATTGAATCACCAACGTCTTCAATTCAACGCCTATCTGGCAAATCAGTATTAAAGTCTCGGCAAACTTCAAAATCAAAAAAAATATCTAGTATATTTGAATCTTTTTTTTCTAAAAAATCCAAATCTGCTTCGAAGAGATCGAACAGTCAGCCTTTTTTATCCGATGATGGCGGTGTTGATCGTTTTACCCTTGAGGTAAATGCTGTGGGGAGCATCAAAAATGTGGATAATGTGGATATCATCAAAAATGTGGAGAACATCAAAAGTGAAAATGATGACGGAAATGAAAAGTCATCATTTAATGTGAAGCGTGGCGAGAATATAGAAATATTGTTTAACTTCTTGAGATTACAATCATATGATGGGAAGTTTTTAGCCAGTAAAGAGTTTTATAGGTATTTCGATGATGGTGAAGATAAAATTAATAGTAATTTGAAAAAAAGTATTCCTGAATTAGAGGAAAAAAATAAACTTATCAAAGAAGAAATTTGGACGACATCAATTGCTATAAAGTATTTGGAGATTGTGCTGTTTCCCAAATTTAAAGAAGAAAGCGAGATTTGCTTTGAGAAAGCAGCAAAAGTTTTAAAGAAGTTAGTAATAGAAAATGGAGATGGATGTAAAGGAAATAATTCAGAAGAAAAAGTTAAATGGATTTTAGAAAAAGCCGGAGAATGGATTACAAGATGGGTTAATGAAAGTTAATGGAAATATTTTTATTTTATTTATTTTCCAACTTGTTTATCCTCTTTTCTTTTCCTCCTTCAAAATTCTCCAAATGTTAATGGCTGATCCGCTTGTGATGGGTAGAAATTATCTTGGGCGTTGCATATTAATTTTGAATTAACTTAAATAATTGTTTTAGGATTATATTTTTCTAAGGTTCTATTTTGTTAATTATTTTATTTTTTCTTCATTAATTATTTTATTAGTTATTTTATTTTTTTATAATAAAGACCAAGACATAGTTAATAAGCCACAAATAAGTCTTTTTTAATCTATTTATAAGGTATTTATCGATAATTTGAAGTTTAATTTCAGGTACTATTGTTACTACATGGGAGAGCAAGCTTTACAAATTTATAGTGGTTTAGCTTGGTAGTGAACTTGTGTTGGTTAAATTATGTGAATGATTATAAATATTAAAGATAAAAATATAAAATATAGAAAGAATTCAATTAAACAGGAACAATGTCAATTTATCTAAATAGTTAACCAACTAATAATCAATAACTATAACTAATCAATAAATAAAAATACTTAATCAAATCAAATAACTAAATCAATAATCATATTAAAATAAAATAACTATAAACTAAAATCAATCAAAAATCAATAAATCAAAATAAAAGAACAAGAGATGAGTTTGGGTAGACAGGATTCCTTTGGCTATTTCAGCAACAATTTAAGACAAAAGTATAAAGTAATTGTTATTTTTATTAAAATAAAAGAAGTAGTAATTGTATGAACTTTACAAACTGTCTTGGACAAGATAATCTCTCTTGTCTTTATATATATTTCTATGCTGGTGTCTAAGAACCTCACTTGGGTTCTAATGCCTAACCTGAGGTCTAAGGATAAACGGACCTCATCTGGGGTGCAGGCCTCACCTAGGGTCTCTTTAATTAAAGACCTCAACTGGGGTTCAAGATGATCAAGACACCTCTTGGGGTCTTGGAGGTCCTTTTGATACTCGACTAGCCTTTTCTATCTTAATTCTGTTATATTTAATATGAATTCTAATACTATTCTCTGAATAAATAACTATAAAAATAGAAATAGAACTAAACATATATAGATCAATTCTAAAACTAATACAATAACTACTAAGTAATAATAAATAATAAATAAATAGTAAATAAATAATAAATAGATAAATAATAACAAATAATAAAATACACATGATAAGAAAGAATTATAAATAATAAAAAAAAACTTCTAACACTATTAATAAAGAATTTACATTTTACAAGAATTTTCTCTTTTCTTATAATTTTTATGTTCTAAAAAACATTGAACAAAAAATGTAAATATAATGTGATCCGATTTAAATAAACTTTGCCAAATTCATTTGAATCCTGAAACTAATCCAATGTTCACTTTATTGGCAACATGCCTTATGTATGAATTACTATTTAATATCATTAATATTGTTATCCAAAATAAATTCTTTATTAAATATATACCTATTATATTGAAATTTTAATGACTTTAAGGAGCTATTTCCCTAAATAATTTCAAAAGAAATGATGATAATGCATCATTTTTTTTCTTGGTCAAACACTCAAGATTAACCATTTCTTACAATTGTACAGTAGGGTATCAAAAGTCATGGGGCAAAAAAAAAATTAGCAAAAAAATCACTAAAATTAAAATGCTAATTGTGACACAACGGGTGATCTAAATTGCACAAAATTTTTTTTATTAGATTTCCCTAAACCAGGGTTATTATATGATATATTTGAGTTAAAATTGAATGCCTATACATAGAGAAATTGCGCTTCAAATAAAATTGAAAAAAAATAAAAAAATTAATCTTTGAATGTTACCCATACCAGAATTGATAGATTTTTAAAGATAGATACCAACTATCTTATATGAAATTGTAGTCAAGAACAATGTCTACAACTTTTATTACAACGGAATTTCGTATATGATGCTTTGTATATGATGCTTTTATTCTCAGCTTTAATGTTACTTAATATCATTTTTATTAGTATTTAAATAAACAAAAACTTTATAGTTTCAGAACTTTTTTATTCTAATCAATTATGTTAAAATATACAGTTAATATGACACTGCATATGCATAGTTTAAATGAAATATACAGTTACTATAATATTGTGTAGTTTAAATAAAAAATATACAGTTAAAAATAAAGTTGTAACATTGTACAGAATATTACAATGTATTGATAAAATTATATTGTTTACAAACAATATAACTTATAATTATTTAAAAAGATCTTATTTATTTTTTTAATAATTTACAAATTTTAATTTAAATTTATTAGTTAAATTATATTTTACATTTTTTTTTTCAAAAAACAATTTTATAAAAATGGCTACTCAATGTAAAGAACTTACTGAATTTCAACATAGTGAAATAATAGGTGCTTGGGAATATGGTATTGTTGAAAAAAATAACTGAGATGCTAAATTATCCAAAAAGTACTGTACATAATGTTATCTCAGCTTACAAAGAAAATGGATTAGAAAAAAAAACTACTCAAAGTGGTCAGCCATGTATTATAACTGAAAGAGATAATAATCACCTTAATGTGAATTCTTAATGAAAATTGTGGAACCAGCATTAAAGAAATATGGAAAAATTTTATTTCTTCCACTTCAACAAATATAAGCTCAATTACTTTTAAAAGACATCTTCATAAGAACAAAATTTATGGAAGAATTGGAGCTAAAAAACCTTTTGTTAATGCTGCAAATAAAATGAAAAGGTTAAATTGGGCCAAAATAAGAAAAGATAGGATAAATGAGTGGGAAAATATTATTTGGAGTGATGAATCAAGATTTGAGGTATTTGGTGAAGATGGAAGAAAACATGTTTGGAGAAATTCCCAAGAAAAATATAATTCAAAATGTCTCATTTCAACTTTTAAATCAGGACAAGAAAGTTTAATGGTATGAGGTTGCTTTACAAAAAATAAACTTGGACTTTTAGTTAGATTAGAAGGCAGAAGCAATATATATAGAAATATTAGAAAAAAATTTACTTCCATTTATAAATAGTCTAGAAAGTAGTGATAGGTATATTTTTCAAGAAGATAATGCTCCAATTCATACTGCAGAATAACAAAAAAATAGAAAGAAAATAATAAAATTACAAGTCTCCCATAGTCTGCACAAAGTCCAGATTTAAATCCAATAGAAAATTTATGAAATGAATTAAATAGAAAAGTCAGGTCACATAAACCATTACTTAAAAATAAGGATGATTTATGGCAAATTTTGCAGGAAGAATGGTTCAAACTTGAAAAGATAAATATAATAATCTTGTTAATAATATGTCAAATCGTTGTTGAAAATAAAGGTTTTCCCACAAAATATTAATAAATAAATTGTTAATTAAAAAGTTCTTGAAATAATTATTAAAGGTTACTATATATAAAAGTTTTTTTATTTATTTAAACACTAATAAAAATGATATTAAGTAACATTAAAGTTGAGAATATAAAGCATCATATACAAGCATCTAGACATATTTAATTAAAATTGAGTGAATAATTAATGATTTAATTCTTCACCCTGTCACTAATGGTGCGTTGAAAAACAAAACCCTCATTTATTCATTTTATTTTTTGAACAGATTATATTTTTCATTCAATGCTAAGAAATCTTTAATTTACATCAAGTGCTTTGCTAACTTTTCTAAAAGATCAATACGGAATTCAAATTTTTAATTTTGTAGTGCACGTTTTATAAGCTAGCGAAAGTTGATACATATTCCATTTTTATTTGTATACTCAATTAATCATTATCTCGAAGTTACACTGATTTAAAAATACAAATTTACAAGTTTTATCTATTTTCAAATAAAGAAAAAATATCAGGAAATAATAATTTATTCTTATGCCAATGCGCTATTTATTAAATCCATTCATTTCCTTACCTATTTTATAAAAGACGAAATGGTGATCTTCAAAGGAACAAATTGATCATACCACGACTCATTAATCTATATGTAAAATGTGATAATTGTTTTTAAAAAGCCTTTTACGAAAAATGCAAAGCGGAAAATTTTTTTTTTTAATTTATTTGTAGAGCAAATACCATCGTTGCTTTTTTATATTTTGGACTTTTTATTTGTTTATTTTTTTAGCATTTACTCCAAATATGTATTATTATTTTCAAATGTAGTTTCGCTAATCACAAGACAATGTAGTTTATCTATTATTTTTTGTAATTCACCTTGAACTTGTAAAATCGTTTTGTAATTAATGAAGAAATACATATTCAATGTTTACCCATCACTATTTATTTATGCCGAAGAGCTATTAGAAATCAAAAAACACGAAAATCACATTTAACAATTTTATGAAAGGACTAGGTAATCATCAAGGAACAGACTGATCATACCACAAAGTGCATTTCATAACTTCAGGCTTTGATGCGGTGAATTAACACTATGATTACGGACCGCAAGAAAAAAGAAAAAAAAAATAAAATTCACGATGAAAAATAATAAAAATAAATTATCTATTTCATTTTTTTTTCGAAAAAAAAACACAAAGATCATTTCTTTTTTTCCCAAAAAGTTGCAATTTTCCTTAAAAAGCCCAAACTATTTATTATTTATATAATAATTACTTTACAATATTACTGCATGTTTTTAGGAATATTTATATTATACCAAATAAAGCAATAAATTGTTTGTAATTAAAAAAAAGAACTCAATTATAAGGGCATGCAAATTCTAGGTAATTTGGTTAAGTTTTTATTCATAAAGTTTTCCATTTTACATCTGAGAAGTGACAATTTAAAAAATATCGCAAAAATTTTTTATAATGGCACGTGTGAACGGCTTAAAAAATAATATTAAATTTATTTATGAATATTATTAACAAGACAATAGCTGATAGAATAAAGACGATTATCAATTTGGAGAAGAAACATTCTTTATTCGAAAAAGCGATAGAAAATAAAAATAAATAACTATTGGAAGTAAAAATAATGAATAATGTCGAC